TATATATATATATATATATATATACAAGAGACTACGTATCGCCTATGGGTAGAAATGAACAGTATTTTTGCCTATAGGCTTGGCGCCATCTGTTTTTTCAAACTGCGTAGAATAAAAGACTGTCACAGATAACATGGTCATTGCGGGGTTCTTTCACGCAAAAAAACATATGATTCTGCCACAACTGTTGTAGAGCCGATGCGGTTTCTCAATGTAAAGGTTGTAGGGCAAAACACTATTCAAATTCTCTCATAGGCATTTTTAAGACATATATATATATGTGTATATATATATATATGGGAAGTGATTTCATGCGATGGCTATATTATAATATATAATGAAACAACCTTCAAAAACTATATGGGAAATGATATCATGTCATCATAATATAATGACACCACACGTCTAGGAAACCATGTTTGTGGTATTTTTATGACCTAAAATTTTTGTATGACCCAAAATTTTATATACAGGCTCTCTTCATCTCAATAATCAATCTCAAAAAAAATATAAATAAATAAATCTAATTTGCACCCTATATGTGGTCAAAATGTGTCCCCTCTAATGATGAATATAGACCATCAATTTGGTGGATTTCAAGATCTAGGCCTTTATGACTTCAAAATCTATTGTATTTTCAACGTTGTTTATCTAATGAAAATAAAATTATCTAAAAATTTTGTGGAAAAAAAAAGATCTTTATAAAGCCTAGATCTAATCATCTCACCAAAATAGACAGTCTATGTTATTGGGCTAAAAAACCACTTTCTAGGTTGTGTTTTGAAATTTTTCTTTTTTGCGATTGTTCATTAGAATGAAAAGAGTGTATATTTTTAAAAAATTTAGATCAAACAAATGACCCTAACATAATTTTTAAATATTGTTTCATTATATTATTATACAACAGTTGTTGCATGAAATCACTCCCATGTATATGGCGAAAAGTTTATATAGAGCCAAGGCTCTAAACATTCAAATTTGTGCCTACCTCAAAACTTTCACTAGAAGATGTTGTTTTGATGCCCAAATATCCTCAAATTGATTATCTCAACATCAAGATGTATGGACATGAGAAAAAAATGGATTTCAAGTTTAGAAAATAGTGTATTTTGTAATATATTTTTGGACTGTCAATTTTCAAGATTTTCATAGATCTGTCGATCTACACTATTTTTGTAGATTTAAACTTTATAAATAAAATTGAAAATATATTTTAAGGCTATCACAAAGATTTTCAATATTGAAACCGTATTTCTCGACACTATTTGAAGGTAGGCTCTAATTTGATTGTTTAGAGCCTACGCTTTGTACAAACGATGCCCATATATATATATATATATATATATATATATATATAGTAAAGTTATATAGAG